ATGGTGCTAGCCCGCTGAGCCGGAACTGCTGCGGTTGCAGTGCAGCTGGTGAAGTGTTGATTGCCCCGTCCCGTTAACGGGAACGGTCCCATCAAGTCGACTGACCACAACTCACCAATCTCAGACATTGGAATCGCGAGCATAAGTTACGGCATACCTCGATTGTCTCTCTCCAAGAGCTGACAATTCTGACAAGACAATACGTATGTATCGACGTCTGTTTTCATACCTGGCCAGTAAGCTTTCTACCTAAACAAATCATATGTTCAGATACATCCGGTACGGGCCATCTCATGACAAGAGACCACCAACTTTTTCCTCAACTTCGGTAAACTCACCGGCACCTGGGTAGAGCTCGCATTTGTGTCCACATCAGAATTCCGGCTTCGTTAACTTGCAGGTTTTCCAGGTTCCGCGCGAACGGCCCGAAATGTTGGGCTTGGCTTTTGGTCGTCATAGTTTGATTTACTATTCGTGTTATCAGTCTCTTCAGGGGTCTATGCTTTCGTTGCTCAGCTGCCAATCTCTCCGGATCCTGCTCCAACACCAAACCACTGACACCGAAGGCAACGTTCGGTAAATCGTCGTCACTCGTCAGGCGCGCAAAATGTCTGCCGTTCCTTTGTGGCATATCGTGGAGTCGTATTCTTGTAAGTGCAGTATCCACCTAGCCAACTTGTCTTTGGGGTATTTGGAAGATTTAATCCATTCCAACGGTTTGTGATCTGTTTCGAGGTGAAAGCGTTGACCCAGTAAGTAAGCCTGTGTGGATCCTTCTCTACCAGCGAAGGGTATAGATCAGTATTTCGTCATCAGCTTTCCTCGTTTCAGGCGTCATTGGCTTGAAGAAATGCTGCCCCAGAATGGGCTGTTTCGCGTCCGGCGACACGACGAAAAGATAGTTGAATGTATGACTCTCGATACCAACCGCGTGCTCCGCCATACCATTTGCGCGTATATTGTAACCACTGACCGACTTCACTAACATGGAACACGACTGGATTTGCATTCCATCTCGATGGTTGATCATGGAGACTGGTTGTTTCTTCTGAACCGTTATCTCACGATTTCTTTCCATCGTGACTACCTCATGCAAGTCACTGCTAAAAAAATAAGCGCCTCAATGACCACAAGACCAATAGTTAAGTGTTCAGTGAAGACGCCTGTGTCGAAGTAGTGCACGTCCCATTGCTTATCCAAATTCACGTGTAGCTGTGATGACAGCTAGTTTGGGCGCATTACTCGAAATCTGGGTGTTCAAGTCAATGAACACATTCCAAAGTGGCTCCGCAAGCAGATGGAAAATGCGACGATTGCGCGCGGTGATTGGAGAAGAAAAGTTGCCTCTGCAATTACGAAAAATTTGATGAGTATCGGTCACCAAGTAAACCCGGGTCATTCACAGTCCTTGTGCGCAGTCAAAGGTCTAACACTCAAGCTACTCGAGGCCATTGTGATCGATGGACAGCGTCCCCCACTGTGTGTCCACAAACGGCTGACAGTGACATTAAGCCTACCGTGGTAGCGTGCAACGCACCAATTGGAAAAATGCTGGATCAGTAATTAATTTCACGTAACGTTGTTTTTCATTCCTTTTTAATTGCTTGTATTGTGACTGACGAGTATGCACGAAATGACAATGTCATCCCACAATCTTGGTCTTCTGCTATTTTTCTTTGGAATTAGAAAGGAAAATTCATGTTTCAGATGTCAATTCCAATTTGACCGCTGCGTCAGAGTCTCCGGATGCGCTTAGTAAATAGTGAGAAAATAAGCTAGGTTCGGTAATCAAATCGGAATAGTGACGAATAAGTTCGCGTAAGGAAAACGGCGAGCATGCACCGTCAAACGTCAGAATTGTCTCCAAAGCTTCGGATAAGACAAGTAGATGAGTAAACTCATTCTTCGCACCTGACAAAATCCAGCTGGTTTCTAAAATGCGAGGCAATTTAATCAACCTGAGTTATTGCTTTCTTTTTCGGGTATGGAGCGCCCTTCTCCATGGGCCGTCTATTGGATTCGTTCTCATGCGCAGGAGTCGAAGATGAGATCAGGCTGTTGAAATTGTAGAAGTGCGCAGGGGCAGATAGAATTCCTCTAGCCCTCTTCAAATTCGGGGGACCGCTTTAGTAGATGATTTACACGAGTTGCTAGTGAAACTGTGGGAGCAGGAAACTGCCCTCACAGACAGGAGCCGTTCTGTCACAGTCACAATTTGCAAGGGATATTCCCGTTCGGAATTCGGCAATCATAAAGGGATCGGTCTGATCAAAATTGTCTCTAAGTTGTTTGAGTTTGTTGTTCTCCACAGACTGTGGCACTAGTGAAAGCCAGATCTGTGTAAAGCAAGCCGGGTTTCCTACAGGTCAGGGCTGCATCAAACAGATCTTTACTTTGCGTCAATTGTTAAAGCATTGCCATGTTTATTGGCGACCCACTGCAGTCGGGTTTCTCGACATCGAAGGGGCTTCGATTTGATGGATCGATGTGACCTTCGGGACTGTCTGCTGAGGAAAGGTGTGCCTGATAAATATGTAAACATTATGAAAGCGCTGCACGTTCGGGTAGAGTGAGGGTTTATGACAAACTGTCGCCGCCATTCAAAATCTCCACAGGTGTGAGACAAAGCTGCCCGCTGTCACCTTTTTTCTCCAACTTCGCTATTGACGAAGTCATGGAAACAGCATTCGCTGGAAACGACCTAGAAAATGTGGAGCTAGTTCCTGGTGAGGGACTTCTTAACTTGGTATACGGACGATATCGATCTAATCTGTGACAGCGCCCAAACATGTCAAGCAGCACTGGCCGTCAATTGTTTTGGGATCTGTTTTGCTTCATCGAAATGCAGTCCTTCTCCAAGATTGGCAAGGACCTACTACTGCGCTGATACATGGTGGTGATCAGCTATAAGTCGTTCAGGAATTCAAGTACGTGGGAAGTTATATTAGCGCCCGTGGGATCGAAGATGATGTCATGAACCGTATAGCAAAAGCTAGAGGTGCTTTTGCTAGTTTCCGCCACCCTTGCCCTGAAGGGTAGAGTTTATAATGCAGCCGTCCATTCAACCTTGCTTTATGGTTGTAAAACCTGGCCCCAGATAGGCAGACATGAAGACGCTCGTCACGTTCGGTCATCGCTGCCTTCGCAACTTAGCTTAGGTCTGGTGGGAACAAAGCGTGAACAATGAGCGTGTTCGGCGTCGCGTATTTGGTGCAGGAAGAGCAAGTGAACCACTCAGCACTATTATATCAAGCACCAGGTTCCGATAACTGGGCCACCTGTTACGTATGCCAGTACACCGACTCCCGCGACGTGCATTGTTTGCGCGCCGGGGGTGTGGTTGGAAGAGGAGGGGAGGGCAAGCGATGACTTGGTCGAAAGAAATGAAAACCCTCACATCGAAACTAGCGTCGATTGGTGCATCCCGACTGCCGGGCTGGGGTCCTAAGGGCAATGAACACGTTTGGTTGGATACATGCTGATATGACGAAGAGCTGGCCCCAATGGTGCTTGTGTTGTGAGTTTTTTTGTCCATCCCTGCCCCTTTAGATGTCCCCTCCAATCCCGATCTCATACAAAACGCATAATGTAATATGCAACATCATATTAGTTGCACGGAATCTTTTTTCTAGTGGAATTTTTTTAGTTTCTTGTATTGCGGCACATTAGCTGAGGTGTGTTTCACTCCCTCAGCTAACGTGTATTGATGATGATAGAAAACGAATGGTAAAGTTGACTGGAAAACTACATGAAGGGGATGGGAAAAGCGAGGACTCGAACGATTTTCCGTGAAACGAATCGATCATGAGCAATGGTGTGATGATGCGTGCAGAATGCCATAAATAATGTGATGTTACACAGAGTGGAAAAAGTAGTTTCTGCATAGGGTAGACGAATAAAAAGGAGGTTGCATAAAGCGGATGACCCGAGCAGAAGGGAGCAGCGATTTGTAGTCCGCAAGTGACAAATTAATTATTCACCTGTAGTCAGGAAATTAAAAGAAATGCTGCACGATAAGATAGCATAAGATGTAAAGACAGAGTGCTAGCCGGGTAGTTTCTCGCTGAAAAAGTGTGCAGAAAAATGATGGCGTCTTAAAGTAAATTAGACAGATTCTAGTAGACATATCCGAACGAATAGCGGTCGGCCCAAGACCCATAGTAATAAAGATAAATTCACACCAAATGGTTGGGTGAGTTGACTTAACAAGTAGATGGGTCTGATTGAGGTACTGTGGAGCATTAATGTCCAAGACAAGTGTCCAAAAGCATATGTGAAGCTTTCGCACGAAACCAATGCCGTAGATCCTGTGAACTTGGAAAAAGGAAAAGTGATCCCTTTGATCCAGTCTGACTAATAGTAGCTGGAGCAAATAGTCCGCCGAGACGAAGCAAATTACATCAATCACGACTGACGGTGCTATCCGATAAGCGATCTGGTAGTACCTGATAAATGTAGTGTACGGCAGATACTGCATCGGACCAAGGGCTGAGTAATTTCTATGTAAATGCCAGTGGACTACATCCAAACGGTTAGCTAGAAGTTTGATAACATGGGAGAGTTTAAGGTCCGAAAGGTGGAAAATTAAGCACGGCATGCAAGAGCAGGTTTCACCAACGAAAGAGAAGAGTTGTGCCCAGAGGTTGGCTAAAAACCGGTGGGATGGAAATATAGAATAAAACTGTATAACAACTTGCATACATTGCAACAGGATAAAACCGGTAGTTTTCAAAGAGGTGAAAGGGGTGAGGGCCACAATCAACTGCTACGCGTTGTTAGCCTTTAGGCTAGCAGAAGCATAATGATGGATCTTGACGTCTAGCTACCCAGATGATCGATTGGTGGTCAGAAGAGGAAGGCACCTTGAATACCAATACGGAGTCAAGGTAAAGTATAACTATTGATTGCGAAACCTGAAAATCATGAGTAAGTGGTGTGAATGAGGTTGTGAAAGATGTGAAATTAAGTTGGGCATGGAAACGGCGGACTCCTGCACTTACGGGGCTTGCCGTCAGCTTTAATCCAGCCAGCATCGTCATCACGAGAACCGTCGAAATCGGTAACCGGATCTGAAACGAATATAAGGCAAGCGACTTTATAACAGGACAAATAAAATTAATAAAGGGATGATAAATGTGGTAGAAACCACTGCGGAGCGGCCGCAGAAGAGAACTGCGGAAACTGAGAGGCTAAAACAGACATAAAATCTGACGAGCATCAAGGTCATAGAATAAGGGTGAAGTGGCAAAGTGCAGTGAAGCGGAACCGATGGAAAACCAGTTGCGGGGTGATGAATTAAAGAAGAATACAGTAAGACACAACGGAGTACGCACAGTTAATTGATAACATGTGATGAAAAGCTGGAATGCCAAAAAAGATGACAAAATGTTGACAAGCTGAAGGCATATAGGATGCTTGATAGCAGCCGTCAACCAAGTTGGCCAAGTATAACTCCTGCAACGAAATGCAGCAGATGGAGTAACTGAGAGTGAAAGATAAAGGGACAGATGAAAAACAAAAATGACTTCGTGATAGTGCCATATCCGACAGGATATCCAATCCAAGGCATCAAGGAGTTCCATCCCCGGGTACCGAGTATACATAACTTCTAGGTAAGTTCCTTTCTCGCCTTTCTTCAAGCCACTGACTGGATACTCTTTAATTTCGTTCGGAATCTAATGCAGTTTGATAAGTAGTGAACACCAGAGCAACAGGCCACACATATATACGCGCGTCACCATGTGAACAGCGTAAAAGATTCTAGTCCAACAGGTGTTTAGATACGATAGCTTCGAGGACGTTGACAAACAAATGGTTCGGCGACAGTGTTCCAGAACGTGGTGGGTTTTCGCCTGGCAAGCGTTCTCCCTATAAAAAGTCACATGTCCGTTTAACAACACTGTGACGTGGCGGACGTGACTCGCCAATAAATAAAGTCACTGCCACTTGCTTCGTCCTGGCGAAGCATTGTATTCCAGCAACTTTATGCTGTAATTTTGGGGAGCGTTGGACCCCTGATTGACAAAGGAACAACGAACGGCGTATGAACTGAGCAATCAGTCACCGGCTCCCAATGGGCGCGATTCCCTGAATTCGCTCCGCTGCCTTGCGGGCAGGCTATTCAGCCAAAGGCTCGGAGTGGTGTCCCCTAAGTCAACATCCTACTTCGGCTTGGGCAACCGCTCTCTGACGAAACCATGGACTTTGATGTGTTGTGTTTTCCTTTACTATTTCTGTACCTTCTTTTGAGTTCCATGGTTTCCGATGGCTCAATGTCTATTCACAGACTATTGTAATATATATATATATATATATATATATATATGACAAGTCGGATTCATTGCTAACCAAATTACTTCATATGCTAATTTAGCGAAGAGTTATGTCACCGTATCTGTATGCATTATTGGATTTATTCTATTTCAATTTGTCGTTGCAAGTGATTGGCTGTTGCTTGATATCCCCGATGTGGCTGCGCTTGATGTGCATGTTGACAAGGTGCCTACCTGTCTATTACCCACTACCTCGTCCATACTGGCTCCAGGAGATAGTTGGTCGTTGCTTGAGGGGACTGGGTGCACGGTCTTTGTGGCCGTGCTAGGCTCGAAGAGTGGTTCCATGCACTCAGTGTGGAGCGGACTACGGTCCAGCCACCGCCTTGTGTGCGCTTGATTCCCCAAATACAGTGTGCTTGTGTTTGCCTGTGAAGGAGTGTGGGCCGGCTCCGTTGATGAAATGTGGCTCCCATCCACATGCCTCCCGGTCTTATTCCTTCGGGTTTACACTGGGTATGGGGTGTGTGGTTGGAGCTGTGGGTGGTGCAGCGCAAGCCATCCATGGTCCCTCTGTAGGCACATGCATCCTGTGGCTGGCCACAGTGACAGGCAAATCCAAAACCGGATGCCGCCAACCATATATGACAAACACCGGATAGTGAATGTTTGGTACTGCTTACTAGATACTTTTACCAGTTATGAGCAACACATCGCAAGCATCAGTATTGACTAAGACGCTGTTGCACGGCAAAACAGACCACGCCGAGAAACCTCACTTTTAACCCTAAGCCTTCACATCACTATTTCTATGAGCGACGTAGGGTACGAAAAGCGAAAGGAGCCATAGAAGTGGGTGCAACGACTATTTCCAATCGACCACCTGAAGCAGTGATTCGGTAAGAACTTTCGGCATACCGGCCCACTCCTGCAACAGAAATTTGAGAGCACGACGTAGATAAACGCGCGGATCTATGATGCGTCTGTATTTTCCGCATACAGACTGGGTAAAACCCAGAGTCATGCAGATTACGTCCTGTAAACTGGACAGTCGTGAAGTTAACAGACCGTCTATCCCTGAACAAGCGGGAGGGAAAGAATGACTCATTTATGATCCTTTCGAATCAGAAGTGGAACTGAGATAGACATAGCCGTCTTGAAACACTCCACCTGTCGTAAGGGACGCAGAGGATGGCTTCCAGTAGACATTTACAGGACCTTAGGAGTCGAGGAATGTTGGAGTCAGAATGGAGAAAAAATCTCTCCCCGACACACTCTTCAAAGAGAGAAAATTGGGGTGGAATATGAACTATGACAACAAAACCATATCAGTGAAGCTGGGGTAGATGATAGATAGACTGCTGGACCCAAAAGGGTGATCATAAGAGTGAAAATCAGTATTTTGAATAGAAATATGTGTAATACTCCAGTCCGAAATGAATGGACGCACAGATATGAGAAAGAGGAAGTTGAGGAGATAACAAAACCAAGTCGTAGAAAACGATAGCAGACACATTGACTGTGTCACCCCGGAAGACTGCGCAGTCGGGTATTGTTAAGTAGCCTGAGGCTAGGTGGGTGTAGTGGGTAAGAACATAGCATTTGAGGCTCAACACAGAATCGGTAAGTACAGTGCCAAGAATGCAGATGAGATTGCTAAGAACAGAAAACGGTTGAAGGGTAGGCGAAAGTTAGGCAGACAATATTCATGGGGGCCAAACGATCACAGAATACAGTGGGCACTTATGAAAAAATGCAAAGAGAACACGTGTGGAATACGTTGTACTCCATAAGTGGGTGGAGCAATTGTGAAATCAAGTCAAACAAATAGCAATGGCTGATTAATAATACTTAGCTGACCCCGAGGGTTTGAAATGGCTACCCAGTAGGAGCAAAACAGTCCAAACAGAGGTTCAGGGTAAGCGGATGAGAGAAAAACATGAGACCACTGAGACGTACTCTTCTTGGGACTCCTGCTGGGCCAAATGGGAGCAGTATCAGCAGGACCACGGTGAAGACTGGAATCGAAGACGGGGGCGGGGGCGGCTAAAAAATAACGGAGAAACACTTCATGAAAATCTACAGACAGTGTGCCAAGTGATTGAAATGTTGTGTGATTACGGGGCACACTAGAAGACACGGTAGAGCACCATTTCAGTGAGACCGGGATCGTCAAGAATGCCATTTCCCACTATTGGAGGAGTGTGGACAAGCGGTGAAAAGTTGCGTAAGAAAGAAGGATACAATCACTCGAATGTGCATCTGTTGTAAGTGTCTAAGAGAAACATGTGGACACAATTGGGCGCGGTCCGGCGGTTTGCAAGAAAACTCAAATAAATGTTATGGTCTAGAAGGCAAAACAACGGGCTTCAAAGAGAACTCTGATGAATGAAAAGACGGCAGCTCATCTTGGTCTGTACAAAGGAAATAACCGGACAGAAGGAAAGACAAGCATTATGCATACCAGATGCCCTTGACACAGTCGAAAAAATGTCTGAGACAATGCGAGGGAGGAGTAATAATGGTATGTACGAGGTTCCATTGTTCATATGCTTGCCATCACGAGGAGAATTCACCTGGACAAACAGCAAGGGTTTGGTCAACTCGGAGATCCGGTGGAGTACAATGGTAAACTGACTGTTAGCATTCGCAACCTAAAAGATGGGGCACAATAGCTGGCTAAAGTGTGTAAATAATGATGCTGAGGAGAGTCAATAGGAAAGTGATACATTACGGCTGTAGGGCAGGATATGAGCAATGCGGAATGCTGGCGCCGGCGATTGCATTTGATGGTGATCGATTCGCTCAAGTGGGTCGACCACAAGTTAGCAACACTGCTATGCAGCGCCAACATTCACACCACATCACCTGGTGCCCACCGAATTCCACAATGACATGGCCCCAAATGGAACATATACTGCCATCAGCTATAGATGATACACATGAGTCCAAGACTGTCGGACAATTTGAAGCACATGCCTGAATTCCGACTAGGCGCTAGTGCTTGCACACCTGGCGCTCTGTCTTCCCGCTTCAAATGAGCACCTATTTTTTAACCTTCTTAGTGAATGGTAACGCGTATATTTCTCGACAGTGCGAATGTCCTTGAATTGGAGACGGATCACGTTCATGAATGAGTGAAATACGTATTTTGTGGCGTGTGTCATCAAACCACCGTAACTTGAACTCGAAGTCTGCAGTTCAACATTCGCATAACGAATTGGCACACTAACAGTCAGTGATGAATGCGGTTCGCGAATCGAACGCTGACTGAGGTCGTCTCAAATGTGTCATGAAGAATGCATTAGAGAGGCCTGCAGTGCACCCAACTTGTGATGTCGTAACTGTGAATGGATCTCTGAAGCATCAGTCAGTTCCGATTGGCACTGCGTTGCAGACTGTCCGTAACTTCCTAAAATGAAGTCTGAAAAGGAGTCTTCGAATCGACGAGGAAGGTTGGTGCATGGCAAGGGCCCGTGAGATGCCAGGCAACCGAGTTATAAACTTGGCGTATGCGGACAACACAGTCCTCCTTTGGGCTGACCAAGTGACTACACAAACACTACTGGATAAACTGACGCGTTGCGCTGCACGCTTTGACATGTGCTTTAGACCTTCAAAGTGAAAAGTGCTGCTACAGGACTGGACCGATACACCTCCGGTTCTAGCTATCACCGAAGAGCCACTGGAAGAGGTGAATCGGCTTACTCACCTTGGTAGGTGTGTCACCTAGGGTTGTCACATCACTGAGGAAATTATCTTGCGTATCAGCAAGGCCCGTGTGGCTTCTCACACTTAACCATATATGAAGACGGAATGGTATCAGCCCGCCAGTGAAAGGTAGGGTGCATAAGGCTGCGAGAAGACCGGTGGAACTGTAAAGATCAGAGAGCCGGTCAGTTTGCAGTGAAAACATTAAATGCTTGGCCTTGTATGATCACCCGTGCTTACGGAGTATTGCTCAAGTCTGATAGGAACACCTGGTGAGCAGCGTTGAGGTCCACCAGTTGGCTATTGACAAGAAACCTTCTGGTGCCTTACTTGAGTGTTTACTGAATTCAAGTCCCTTAGGTTGGCTGGTTCATGTCATTCGTAGACGCGTTGACCGACTTCCTCGGTATGCACTATACGCCATGGCTTCACCAAGTTGGGCGAAACAGGTAGGTGACCAATCCATGACGCGGAATAAGCATGGAGAAGATGACAGAGATTTAGACAGGTTGGTGCTGAGATCTTCGTGGACGGGGTCCTAGGGATGGCTCAAACCAATGGTTGGAGACCGTAACAAATGGTGCAACTAGTGGCATTACTGCACTTAGTTTCTTGCATCTGATTGTTAACTCCCCTCCTTGCTCGCATTTCCTTCACATTCTGTTTGTATCCAACCCACTATTTAGCTCTTGTTATTTGTCGTTAGTCTTTCGATTCAAGCCGTGGTGACTGGATTCACCGAACTTCGGTGTTCCGACCATAGCTATTCAACTGAATTGCATTTGATGATAGGTGAGTACACATTTTGATTTTCCATTGGTGTAAACCCACCGAAACAGCGGCGGTTAACTGAGGTCGCATGTGCGTGTGGTATATGCCAGTTATCCACAACATAGGAAAGCTGAGTATGGTCGCTTTCAAGCAGGTCTAAATGAGAAGTTGCAGTTATTTCTTGAAAAGGATCTACTCCCCAAGGATTTACAGAGCACATATTTGGATTGGAGGATCATAACGAGTGTAGCGGATGATTGATTACTTGTAAAATTCCTCTGAAACTTACCGTCGGTTATCATTTGGGCCGTACTTTCTTCGTGAGTGAGAAGACCGCTTGTGCATTGAGCCGTCTCCTCAAGATACTTCAATGAGTTCATCACTCTATATTACCCCTCTCGGGTGTTTGCATTGCTAACTGTCCCATACGCCCACACCTTTGTCTAGTGGCTCATCACTGGTTTGTGCCATCATTCCTTCCACGATATTCGACTTCGTCTCAACTTGTGTCGATTGTAACAGATGCCTTATGCATCTGTTCTGATGTTACTATCTCCATGGTGTCGTAACATTGTTACCACACTCTCTTAGTCATCCATCTGACCAAGTGTGCTTCCCGTCTCTGTAATCCTTTCCACATTTCGTGGTTAGATCGTTAATGATTGGACGCAGCGACTTTGCTAATAGTTGCACATATTTGTTTTGTGTTCACTTGCCTCTGGCTGGCTGTTTTGCAATTGATTTCGAAAACTTTTTTCTGCATGCCCGTTTAACTGCATTCTACTGTTGACGGCGATATCGTGGCATCCGAACGATTGAGGTTTGTCCTTAACCGTATACATTGTAATAGTGCGTAGACAATGCGATCCAAACTTGTTCTCACTCAACATTAGACCGGCGAAAAGTGAGTGTAAAGTCCAAAGAGAACTTCGATTTTTCAGTCAAGTTAGAGTGCATATCCAAGTACAGAGTATTCATATGCTCAAACACTTTCTTTACTTCCAAAAAGTTACACAATTTGTGTCCAATTTGACACAAGTTCAATGCGAATAACAGTCCACATTGGGGTTGCGCATCGCAATCCAATCACACAACGAATACTTCAAAATGACCCTCCAATCGAACATTTAACATTCTAATTCGCCCCATTGGCACATCCTTGAGTATTCAAAGACACATACCTGTGACACGACACCGATGACAATAATAACATTAATAATAATAATAATAATAATAATAAGTACATCTCACATGCCAAGAGAAGCTCTAGCGAAAGAGACCAACATGTATAAGTAGCCATCTACTTGTGAGGATGATATGCATATGCATAAGATTGGGGCATGCGAATCATGTAATAGCGTTTTAGTGGACGATTGGGGCGAAAGTCAAGGTTTGAAAACGTGGGCGCTTAGATGACTTTTGACCCTTCTTGGAATGGCTCATCTTGGGATATTCCCTATGTAAATGTAGTCTGCTGTGTACAGGTTAAGGTAAGCTGAAAGTTTGTTACGAAATATTGCCACGCCGTCACATGACCTGGGAGTGATTGACAGTTTACTTCATAGATAGATGCATATGACCAGCAAGAAACTTGCGCGCATGCTTGTTCTATCTAGTCTTTGGTATATTTAGTGTATAATGTTTGTGGCGAGGCTCTCGAGTTGAGCTAAGTTGCAATTTGAGTGTAAGCAGATCGGAATAGGTCATTTTTGTGTAACAGGTTGAAAAGTAGCAACAAGTTATGCTTCAGTTGTCGAAGACAAAATGGTTCGCGTTGAACTTCGTTAAAAAGGCTTCCAAGTCGGATATTTGGTAAACGACCTCTGCATGTGTACCACAACATTTCTGTTGCTCTTTCTCAGATTACCGTATCTCATGCCGCAGTATTCTAGGATGGAGCGTGTGAGTGGCTTAGTAAGCTCAACTCCAGCATGAGTTGTGTGGAATATGTTGAATATCTTAACCCCAGTTTGTCTGTCATGTGGTACTTTGTATTGGGTCGGTTCAGACAAGTCAAAGGTAGATGAGTACCTACTTCCGAGATCGCGCGTCGGCAGTTATATAGGAGCATGTTCAATGTGTGGTGTAATATATCCTTCGTGGATCGAACAGATATTTGAAATTGTGCTAGCTTTCTTAACCAAGAGGTCCATCATCCATGTGCAGCACCATGCCTCAAGGAAATATAAACTATCTTGAAGAAACAGAAGAGTTCCGCAAACTTCGTAACGCCGAAGCTCACATACGCTTTTGATATCGTCGACGAATAAGAATGGCCCACTATGTTTTACGGATGTGATGATGTCATTAATGTAAAGCCGGAACAGTGAAACACCGAACACTCTTTCAGTTGACCCCAGTAGTGTTGGGGGCGTGGAAAAGAGCGGCAGTCGCTCAAAACGACCACCTGGTGAACATGGTTGGCGGCATCCGGTTTCGGATTTGCCTGTCACTGTGGCAAGCCACAGGACGCCTGCGCCTACAGAGGGACCATGGATGGCTTGCGCTGCACCACCCACAGCTCCAACCACATACCCCATATCCAGTGTAAACCCGAAGGAATAAGACCGGGAGGCATGCGGATGGGGACCACGTTTCATCAACGGAGCCGGTGGAGAACATACAAGTATGACAATAGCTAACCTAGCAATTGCTACATTGTGACGCGTCTCAGCGCCTTGACTTACATCTTCCCGTGTCCGAGAATTTTTACATTTAGGAGTGCAACTATTCGGTAAGTTACTAATCAGTGAACGGAATTGGGTATGATTTTATGTGGTTCATCGCAATTAGATTACAGGCCGTATAAATTGGCGACCAATCCGAAAGAGTCGGCTGGTGGCCGAGTGGTTCGCGCGCATGCTTTGCAACTATAAGGTCCCCGGTTCGAATCCGTGTAGGGGTGGGCGTCCTCGCGGTATACCAGGCTCGCGCGTGACTAGTGGTGGTCGCGCAGCAGCGAAGCAACGTTACGGCGTACAGCTGACATACAAAATAGACTTAAACAGGAAAAAACCAGCTGATTGTTTCCTGTCATTGGGACTCGTCAGTTGTGCGGATTCCCTCGGTCTCTTGATGGGGATCGAACCCATTACCGCTAGTGGCTTGCATCACTAGCCAGCAGCTCAAGCCGCTGAGTCATGGTGGATGATAGCCGACCATCACCGATTGAAACGTAACTGCGATATAGCCCCATCCATCCTTCACTGCCACGCAGGATTCTGCCGGTGCAGAGCACAGTGGTTGGCCGTCCGGGGAAGGACTTCCCTCGCTAGTGCCGTGAATCCATACAGCATTTCGAGGACCGGTAGAGCAGTTTTTGATTACTAATGAGTCCCACATGGCAGTGGCAAAAACTGCTAGCTAGTGGTACGAACCACGAACAGTCATGGATTAGATCCCCAGCATGGAACCGAGGGAATCCGCACCACGGACGAGTCCAAATGGGATGAAACGGTCGTCTAGTGCTTTTCCGGATTGGCAGCTTACCTATGCAGCTTGCACTCTAATTGCGATGTACCAAACAGAATTATTCGTAAGTTGTATACTGTCTTTAATTTGAAGTATAGGACCACTGCAGCAGAAATTCACGTTTAACTCCCCCTGCCCAGACCGTGCTTGTAGGTTGGCTTTACTAGATTTCAGTTTCGCGATGCAATCTTGTGCGATTTCCTTAATTTAGGCCCCGTATCGTCCTTATGGTCAGGTTAACGAGACAAACTCCGAGGTATGCTGCTGATATGCGGGTCAGACAATGGATAAAAAGGACAGAGACCAGTGCTTTACGACAAGGTAACGATGGTTGGACAGTATTAGTTGCCCATACTATGTATGCGGTAGTCTTCAGGTTGGCTTGCATCAGGTATAAATAGCCTAGGAAATTTTAGTGGATGTGAAGCGAGGCATTTCAAATTGTGTCAGTGACCGCGGTGAATTATCGGACACCTGTTACACGGATAAGCGGCTTTCAATGAACTCTGACCATTTTTCAATCGCAGTTCCACTGGATCCTTGGACGCATCATGGAAGGTTCGCTTACAGGGTCGTAGATGTCGTCCGGACGGAGTTGGTCAAATTAGATTGTGAGGAAAACAACGTCCGGAAATAAGACAACCAGGAGGCAGCTTAATCACGCTTAGACGAACTCATAGATAGCAGTTGTATGTGCTGGTAAGTATTTCGTTAACCCAGTAAAAGGGGACGAAATTGTTGACGTCTAAACTAGGAGCTGCTGGTTCGTCCGATTTTCCAGGCTAGGATCCAGGTGACTTACACTGTGCTTGAATTGAGCCATCACACACGGAAGGTCTAGTATATCCTGTGGCAGACCCTAGCCAAGTCATCTTTTTGAATTGTGTGCGGTGTTGAGAAAGTGCACCATCAAAATACAAACTAGCACAATGTACCGATGTTCTGCTACAACGTGACAGCGATTAGTTACACGCGAAGTGGAGTGCTTTAACGACGTCTAGAAACCCATGTGCAAGAACGCGGACTCGAACTAGGGGAGTAGTGACGGTAAGCTTGTCAAATCGCACCCGGGGAGTTCCCAGTATTGAGCTATCTGTGCAGTACGGTTGAGATTGTGACCTGGGACAGCGAGAGTTGTACGGAAACGACTTGGCTGGGACCACACTAAGTTCCACAAAAGATGGTGAGGAGAAATTGGGCGGGGGGCAAATGACACAACAGTACGTCCTGAAAGGGAATCAATAATGTTGGCGGTCAAGATTGTAATCCAATGAGGCGACGATGTGGGTAACTACGTATGCACAAGCGCGTCGGCTGCAGTTAGTCCCGCGACCGCGCGCGCTGAGCCGAACGAAACCAGCAAACACTTACGTGCTGTAACTTGGCCGCCTCGAACCCAATCCGTACCAGTCGATTCGGGCGCACGAGTTGGTTGATCTGAAAGATAATCAGGTAAAAGGTTAAGAAAGTAAGAGCAAAGAAAAAGGTGGCATAACCTTCCAGCCGATGGGATGACGGCAGTGTAGGCAAAATGACAACTGCTTACATCGCGAGGAGGGAGGTATGGGGGGACGAGGGCGGAAGTATGGTTCCATTGGACGTTCGGGAGCATTTTGATCTAAAGGAAACGAATGAATGAAGTGGAGGGAAGGAAACGCAATATGAGCAGAGCAAGTAGGGACTTTTGGCGCAAATGTGAAAAAGAAACGCGAAGATGGTAAAAGCAAAGATATACCTCGCTCAGCTTCCCTTCGGCGTTCTTCATCAGCCCGTTCAACATCGCGAGCAGCTGCTTCGGCAGCCTCTGAACAAAGCAACAAAAAATTCAAACAAGGCAGTAAGTCAAGGGACAAAGCAACTGCATTCACTTGAAAGATGCTGGAGCAAAGAAGTCGCTGATAAAAAAGCAAAAAGAGCCGTTTAAAGAAATGGATCCGAGAAAAAACGTTAAATTCCAGATGGTCAAATTTGATGAGATTCTGTTGAGTGAAGAGGGAGGACTACAATATTCATCAGACGAGGTGGTAAGGTACTGAATTAAAGCCGGTACTTATACATTGGGGTTCGTCGACTGGTAACATTCCTAAGGAAACGCGAAGTACTGCTGTCTCTCATGAATGCAAGCATGCAGTGACAAAACCTAATGCGTTCTGCCAACTGATCCCCGGTACACGTAGGTAGTAGTGGGAAATTGAAAGTATAATGGAAAGACTAATGGCAAAGTAGACAAAAGCATGAGTCCCGAAGTAGTGATAAAAAACATCGCGACAACAAGCCACTACTGTTACAGTGAAGTAGTCAAATACTGCGTGGTAAAATACCGCGTCCAACAAATGCTTCAAGAGAATTGTGAAGATGCAGCCGCATAGCCATTTCTTCAACAGTGCAGTAGAGAACACGAAATGTGTGTGGGGTCTCCTCCAAATTTAGCGGTATTTTTCTGCAGGTGAGCAATCGCGATCGGTTTCCTACATTCCACAGCGTCGTCAATAAAAAATGACCAGGAGGCCGGGAAATGCGGACTTATCGGAGTTTATGAGTGAAAACAAGAGCACATGGTTCAATCGACGCTTCATGCCCATTATATTAAACAATACTGATGCAGGTAATAATGCAGATTCGGTTTAGACAGTTGTACGTAAACACGCAAATCAGTCTGCAGGGTAACGTTCCCATGGTGTCGCGAACTATCAATCCGGGCAAGTAGAATGACAACGTGGTACCCGGAGGACAACCACCTATGTGGTTCTCAGTTGCATATCACAAATCGAATTAAGATACAACATCGGAGATACGGCATGCCCTAATCGATTCGGAGTACTTGCATAGAAGAGTCGGATCCGAAGATGCTGACGACCGTTAATGATAAAAGCATAAGGAAAATACGGGTAACACGGATATAAGGTGCGTACTAAAAATGGTAAACCATCTGGGTGTTAACGAATACAAAACCAAGTGCAATGCAGTGCGCACTGATCTCCAATCATCGTGTCAGTAACAAAAACTTCCGGCATAAACATCTCAGCAGTACTATGTGCCACACACCGATCGCCGCGTTTCGATATAGGCAGTCTGTTAGACGAACATTGGCTCTCAAGCAAAACCACGTGCTCGGATTCCTCTTAGACCGCAACAAGGACAGTGGAAAGGGAAGGTCATATGTCCTCTCAAAACTACATGTGTGAGGCGCCGAAGCACCACCTGTTACAGAACCATATGTCCCATCAAGCCGCACGCGCCGAGCATCGCCTACACCGCAGCGGAGCAGGGTTTCAGTGCACACCCCAGTCGAGCCAAACTAATGTTCGACACGCTCAATGAATTGAGCTATAACTTCATATGCGTGCAAAGCTTCGTGCCCCTTTGGATGAGTTGGTACAAGCACCCTGGTTAAGGATCAGTCTTTCGCTCTGGTTTGTGAGTGCAGTCGTGAGGTCTACTTTCGTATGTGGGGAATGCTCTGCTGAGCGGTGGTCATGTTTGCCGTAAATTCGATGGTTAGGCATCGTAGAGCCGCAGTCGATCCGATATCCGTTCAAATACTCTGTGCAGAGGGAACATAAGGAAACGGGTCTTTCGTTCCAGATAGGAGCGAAGTTACAGATACAAGAGCTTGTTGGCGCAGGCGATCACAAGGTCCCCACGGCGTCAGCCACAATTGAAAATCTAGAAGCATCATCAACAGTTAAAAGGATAAGTTGAGAAAAGGCAACAGTATTGTATAAAATAGGCGCAATGAAACACATTAGGAAAGTTCGAATGTTGTAAAGATGCCTGTGGAGCCCAGTGAGCACAGATGAAACGAGATTTAAACGGATGTCAGCGGGTACCTGTAACCGGCAAATGAGACTAGGGAGAACTAACTGCGGTATTTTCGTTGGGTGGGAGCGATAAAAATGTCTGAGTTGGAAATACGAAGCACCGATAACGACGGATAACTGAGCAGGATGGTTTGAGCACAGTGAGAAGAGGCTAAGCCAGTGCATGGTATTAGGAGCGCTTGTAGGGGACAAAAGTAAGAAGAGGAAGCTGTTGGCTGGCGTGTTAGAAGCGAGGAGATTCTACAGCACCATAACCACCTCGAATGCCGAATAAAGGCGCCGATGCCCACACTCAGATTGACACCCACTATAGCTGAATGTCGATGTGAGCGAAGATACGCAGATAATGGGGAGGAAAAATAATTAAAACTGTAAATCATACAACCAGCTTATGATAACCCTCAGATCAAACTAGTTCATCAAGGTTGATGTAGTCCGGTGCCTCGAATCTCGAATTCATGATAGAATAGGAACAAATAAGTTGGAGATAGGAAAGGAGGAGGGAAAAGATGCCGCAAAGGGTCAAAGGAAGATAGATAGAAAAAAGCACTATAAGTGTCGAAGCAATAAGTGGAATGAAACACCACAATTGATTCAGGCCGAGCAAGATAAGTGCACATTAATGTGACCGATGCCTGAATTCGTCCTTATTTCGTTAAATGGCACGAGAAAGCGTGGAGAGAGCATTGAGCTAATTGTATTATACGCTTCAGCCATGTCAATTTAGTGGCTATGCTAAGCCTCAAGGTAACTGGCTGCAGAGACGGAAAACGACGCGCACTGCGATGAACGATCGGCAGAAAACGCAAATTCAACGGTGGTTCAAATGAGGTACCAGAAAATTTGCTAACAAAAACACCATCAAATAAGAGCGGCATCACACATCTATTGGTGATCAAATGCGATCAGATTCGTAAGGTTTTCGACAAGCAGTGGTCCTGTCTCGGGTATATACAAGGATAACGAACCCAGCGTCGTACACAATAATGGTAAGCAAGCTTCTGCTCCACTGTCTAAGGCTAGAGACGGCTACACGGGCCTTCCCGATGCGTGTGCATTACACTCTTCCAAACCGATCACTTCAAATGCTTTCTCGGTAGTGATGAAAGCTATGTCCCGTGAAAGTATGTTATGCCTTTGAAGGTGCCAAACGCATGTCGGAGCGTCAAAAGATGCATGGGGCCATGTAGTCCGCGAAGTCTAAACACGAAGGCCAAGCGCACAGCAAAACTACCATTTACAAAGGAGTAGTGGGGGAGTTAGATGACATAGGAAGAAATTCATCACATCCAGACTTAGTCAGACAGCCATCATACGCCCGGAAAAGCACTATACGGCCGTTTCATCCTTCCGTCAGCTATGCGTATTCCATCTGACTATTGTAAGACCCGAACGCGCAACTCGACTGTCGCCAGTCAGTGATTGAGACTACTGAGCTACGGGGGATGGCAATGACCATAGTGACTAAGTTATAAGATGTGATATGGCGCCGTTCACTATCCACTGAGTTTCACATTACTGCCGTGCAGAGGACAGGGTAGGTCCTTCACCCACGGTCGTTACCATCCCCCGTGATCTGGGTTCTTAACCAGAGACTGTCAACTGTCAAGTTGTGGCTTCGATCCCCATAGGGCGTCAGATGGAATGCACACTGATGACGATTTCCGGGAGGATGAGACAGCCGCACAATACTTTTTCGGGCGCGCGATGGCTGTCTGATTGAGTCTAGATATGATGAATTTCTACGCCAACTATTCTAGAGGTGAAAGAATGGGGGATAGAATTACACATGATTGTTTCCATCACAAAGCGAAAGAAGAAATGAGAATATGACGATCCTGTTTCCCCTCATCAAAGTGTTGGAAGCAGGGTAGAGCATGCGATAAACTTTTGCACAGCCCCGCAATTTGAAAAAAAGAAAGTTCCTCTGGCAGTAGTTCAAAGACGGCGTCGACTATTGAAGCCACAGAAAAAGTGGAACGTAGTTCCCAAAGCAGTGGAGGCGACTACTGTGAGTAGATCACATGCGCAGCGCTCTTACAAAGCATGACAAGAAGTAACTGTGTCGAGGAGGAAGCCAACTCGAAGTGCGTCAACAAGGACCACCAAAGCGTGATGTTTGCGGGCAATATGTAGACACCAGCAAGAAAGTAACTTGCGCAATATCCAGTGAAAGTGGTGGATGACTGTGAATAGACGGGAATTAAAAGATATCTCTTAAGTGCCCCTAGTGATGCTGAACAAGAGGTCACGAGAGGAACAGAAAAATTACTAGGTAACGAAAGGGAAGCCGAACAGATAAAAAACCGAAGTGCATTTAACAGATTAGTACAAAAGTAAATCGAAGATTAGGGAAAAGGAAACTGACTTCTTTCCTGTTTGGCTCGCTCGATTTCGGCTTCAGCCTCCGCCTTCTTCCTTGCTTCCTCCTCCTCAAGAGCTCGTCGTGCAGCTTCAGCAGCCTCTTCTGCCTCCAGTTTGGCTTTTCGCTCGGCTAAGCGTTGAGCCCGCGTGGTGTCGCATAAGAGCTCCCACTCGGCCAGCTGTTCTTTGTAACGAGCATCGCGGGCCTCTTTATACTTACTTACGATCATCTGCATGGATGAAAAGGTGGAAGGTGGTATGGACGAACTGCCAGGATGATCAGCTTCAGAAACGACACTCATTAAGTGGCGTGCAGCCAAAAATGCTAACGATTGTCCTCGGGCAATATCATGCCACACCGCAGTGCTAATACAGAATCTAGCATCATCTCATAGTTAGAAAGGGAAAAAAGCGAAAAATACTACTCTCTGCTGAATCTAACAAGTGTGTTTTCTCCCTGCTCCTAACTGCCACGTTTTACAAAACCACTAGACAGTTCACCATCCTCGACTACAATGGCAATCCAACTATCGTAACATCAGGGCAGACTGCCGCGCGACGATCCATGATCGCGGAGGCCGTATTTTCATTATACATCAATGAACGGTAGTCTAATTAAATAGTCATGCTGAGCACCTAGTCAACAAACATCAGACCACATAGTTGGACTGCACCTCGAAACACCGAGGAATATAACATTTATCATTTATCATTTACCATTTTATTGGGTGTAAGCCAAGGTTTCCGACTGGTTTTTAGTTATATCATCATTGGAAACGTACACAGCTGCTGACACATCAGCAACAGGTCTGAAAAATTTTACAGATGAGGAATTAATGCCGAAGGTTGATAGCTCAGTCGGTCATGGCCAGGCATTTCAATAAAAGCCATAACACTTTCGGAAACAAGGTGCTGCCTGCCCGAAAACACTTCACAACCACGAGGCATGTCAATGCCATTTCATCTCATCAGGCATTGAACCCGCGACCAATGGAATAGTAGCCGAAACTTCTACCCTTTGGTAACCGGGTCACCGCGGGCAACGCTTGGTAAACAACTAATTGGAGGGTCGATTTTGGACTACACGTTGTGTGGATTGTGACGCGCAATTTTAATGTGTACCGCGATTTACAATGAAGTGAATCTTGGTCACTGCGATCATTGGGACCGTAGTCAAAGCAGACGAAAATTAGGTGATGCCTGCCCGAAAACACTGCACAACCCTCCAATATCACTTTCATTCACGCACCTGATCTGACTAACATAGTGTGCATTCCGACCCGATTAGAATTCGTCTTCCGAACCAAGCTCGTCTGCTTTCTCCGCTACAAGAGTCAACTCGGTAACTCTGAGCATCGTATCATAAAGGTGCGTCCCGTCAGTTACAGCAAGACAAACTCTGGTTCACTGGCTAATAAGTCATCCGAAACTGTCAGACAAGGTTGCCATCTACTGATTGTGCGATTTTTACAACCAAGATTTGTCTGCAAAGCACTTTACTATGTCGAATTTTGCCTCGACCTGTGCTGCTTACTGGGAACCATCTACATACGAGTGGATAGATTCTACTCACCAACGCTCAAACAACTTAGAAGGAAAAAGGAAGGAAAGGGCCTATAAATGTGAAATGACTGCCCATGTCAAAAGAGTAACAATGAAAAGTGAGATTTTCCGATCGAACATAGAAACCATGTGATGCAGCCACAACTTATGTGACCTGTGAAGACTTTTAAAGTAGCTATGTGGTAGAATCCCCACCAAGTGGCTTGATGCTGTGGATGTGGACAAACTCAATTCTGAGTTCCAGTACTCTCCAAGGGAAACATTCTCCTCGCCATCACTCTCAGGGTCTGGTTGCACAGTTGCCAGGAACTCATGAAGTTGAACACAATGAAGGATAGCGGATTCTCATTACTCTCGCACCAGTTGTGTTGGAAGCAATGGTTTATGACGGGTATAAAAAAGCGAATGCTTGATAGGTCCTGTAGGATGTGGATGGTGAGGGGAAAAATCGAAAGAAAAAAACCATGTCAGTAAAAGAACGTGTGTAATAGATGGTTTGGAGTAGCACAGGCTATATCATGTAGTGTAAGTGTGTCAGAGTATCGTCAAGATGTTTTTCAAAGTGATAAAGTAGGAGCACTATTTACATGTTCTTAGAGGGCGTTCCAAGGCTGTGACACTCGGAGGGAGAATGAGTTTCGTCGACAGCACTGTGTGGACAGCTTAAGTTGATGACCCTTTAGAGATGTGTTTGACTGAGTTTCAAAAGAGAATGGCATGTGTAGTTGGGGTTTCTCAGGATTTGGTACACCAGTATGAGATCGCCTCTTAGACGCCTGTAAGGTCCGCTGCATATTTTAAGGGTTCTCAGCCTGAGTGGGTAGGGAAGGCGGGACAAAACTCTAACGTTCTTCGTCGCCTGCGTTGTGCGGTATCGAGCGTGGAGGTGGTGCTTCTGCCAGGGTTGCCACGCTTGAATAGCGTATTCCGCGTGCGGCTCCAAGTATGGACCAAGCATTTTCGGAAGATTGAGGTGTCAAACTTCCCGAACGCCCTACGAAAAAGGCCGAAGTGTTAGTTTGCTTTCGTTGAGGCCTTTTCAGTCTGCCACAAACACCCAAGGTCACACTGCACAAGCACGCCAAGATCGCACTCATGAGAAGCTCGTTGTAGAATTTCTGGTCCTAGGCGGTAGCTGTGAGTACTCTGATGGAGTATGTTCAGAATTTTGAACTTTGTGGTGTTGAAAGGCAGTATGTTCTCGATGGACCATGTGTACGCTTTGTCCAGGTCTTCTTGTAGGGCTGTGTGATTCTCCACTGACGCGATAGCACGCCATATATCTTCATATAGCAGGTAGTTTGAAGACAGCACAGTTGCAAGACCATGTACGAAAAGCAGGAACGAGCGTGGCCCGAGTATCGAGCCCTGAGGTACGCCACACTGAACTTCGATTGGTTCCGACAGGGTGCTGCGAATCCTCACATTCAGGTGACGTTGAACATGAAAGTCATCTAACCATTCTAGAACGGGATCGCCGATACCATAATTCTTGCATCGATTACCTGACTATGCCTTTGGAAGTCTTTGCAACCACCGCTCACATGGTGGCAATATTCCCGGCGTGTCGAAAAAGAATCACAAAATTTCGCTCAACCGTCTACCGCTCCGTGAGTGAGCACTTGTGTTTCGGATTTATACAAGCACTGCGACTAAAGATGTAGCTCAGTTTGCTTACAAACCTGTTGCGGGCCCATCAAATATGCCCGCAAAAATACGCCAGAAACTCCGGCATAATGGCTGTGGAAAGCGGGGTCTAATTCCCCCCCCCCACAACGCAGCAGCGTTCAGCCACTCCGAGACGCGGCCCAACTGCGCACCTGTTGACAATGTTCTTTTACAAACTACCACTCCGTCGTGGTAGCAATTTTCCCTAACTTAATAACCCATTGCATTAGCTGTGATTCGCCCTTTGTTGGTCGTAAAAGAACCTTCAGAGGACCGCCTGTCTAGCTTCCTCTTCGCCTTACCTGGGAGTCGGTCGGGTCACGTGATTTTGTGTGCGTCGTTAGCCGGGCAGCGTTCGCGTCTAAGTCACTAGCGCACGTCTACCGTAGCCCCCTCGTGTTCGTCCGTTCCGAGGGCTCAGCGTCTACCCGAATACGTGCGGCTAGGAACGTTCCCACGCTCGCTCAATTTCCGTCTCACCAGCGCGTACCCCGGGCTAAGCTAACGCCATCAGGTCAGCGCAAATCCGTTCGACTGGTCAGCGTTCCAAGCCGTTACCGTAGGCGTGCTCCAACCGTGCCAGTGACAACCTTATCAGGCATCTACGCGCTCGTAACAAAACCCCAACGCTCCACCTGGGATACCGTAGCATATCTTGTTCATTCGACAGCATCTGCATTGGATGCAATATGCAAGAACATGCGGCTCCACCTCCTTGATTAATCTGACGCTTTTTGAAGTGCTGACAGGTTAAAACTGCACAATGAGCTGTTTGCGACTGGTGTTTAACTAGCAGTGTACAATCTGATGAAGGACTATTCCGCAAACCAGTGTCACTTCACCCAGTTGGACGGTAAAATGTCCTCCACTCTTCGTGATGACTATGCCGCTTTAAAGAGGGCAATCCTCTACCATCTATTTTCTTTGCACATCGAGAGGTTTCCCATTCCCTCCAACTGTATTGGATGCAAATACGCTCATGGCGAGTGAGTCACCTTCGGTGCTCAAAAGTGTTGGATAGGCTTCAACGGTGGTCGTGATATTGATCTATTAATCTCAACACTTCAAAATGCTGAGAAGTAACATTCACTCATCTGCGCACTGACAAATTTAGGAGTCGGGTATATCACATCCAGTTGACGACGCTCGGTTATTACGTTGCTGTGTTTTTAACTCAAAACCAATCATGGTGAAGATATAAACAAGACGAAAAGTTTCACAAGAAAATTGCCATCTTAAGTCCATAGATATCAAAACGTTTTCGGTATCCTGTTCTTTAATGTATAGAATCGTGATAAAGTGCACCTTCCGCCACTGGTCTTCCTGTTCACCTATCAGTCTCCCTGATCTTCTATATGACTGACTGTGCTATCACTAAACTCAACTGTACGTGCAGTCTCTCGTAGACGTCACAGTTACCAAGTACTTCAAGCTATGTGACAACCACAACCATTTTGCTTATGCGCTCAGAAAATTAGGGTTCTGTATTTTGCACTGCAGCTGTCATAATTCTATCGTAGTGTTTTTATTAGGCCCGTGGCCGTGGCCGAAATGACAAGGGGAGATGGAGTCTGTGTAGGGGGCCAGGTGATCCACGCAGTATCCTTAGCCCACACGCGACTGGTGGTGGCTGCGTGGCTGCAAAGCATCAGAGGGGTGTACTGGCGTACTGCTGACGTCTTTAGATAACTTTGCAGATTCTAAGAATATCAGTAATACAAAGCATGAACACTTACTTGAGTGGTATACATGAATATTTTGCTTCTTGCTCTTTGTAAGGGATTTGAAGAAGCTTACCACATCTAGACTCGGTCAAATAGACATCACACGTACAGAAAAGCACTGAATAGCTGTTTCATCCTTTCGGGAATCCTTAGCGGTGCGCATTCCATCTGGCCATTGTAGGGATCGAACCCGCAACCTGACTGTTACCGGTCTGTGATTGAGACCACTGAATTACGGGAGACGGTAACGACCGACGCGACCAAATTAATAGAGATGATATAGCGCCGCTCAGTATCTACTAACTAGCACGCTACCACCATGCAGAGGACAGCATACCACACTCACAGTAAGTTTCCGGGTGTGTCAGCTGCGTGACTGAGTGTAAATATGAAAAACTTCTACCTACACCAATCAGCCCATCTTGTAATCTATACTTGTGCAATACATTACGCTCCCAAAGCAGGACGGAATAACCGTAAAGTCATTCAACCACATTCAGGTGAAGCTTGGCAACAGAGCAAAAGATGGAACAGAAGTGAATGATATCCCATGAAATCGGGTATGCCCGGCTGTTTACCGAGGATGAATACACTGTTACAAAAAGTTAGGCAGAATCATAGAACAGAGCCAAGCAAGCTCGGCAGGTGCATGAAACGCCACAATACGCAAAGATTCAGCTTCTCTACTACGGTTTGTTCAAGACAGCCGCAACAGGCCCAAGTAACGATCACTGGATCAATCTACTAGTTGCAGCTACCAAGGAGCGCCGATGACAAGTGTTTGCTAATTGAGTGCGGTATGCGGTCTGTTGGGGATCGTTCCGCACAAACTAGATTCGGAGTGAACCATACTGTGATGATGGGTGACCAGCATGGTACGAGCAATGTGAGCAGCTGGTGACATGCTGGTTTGTGGAGACCGAAATGGAAAATGGCATTAGCAGTACGTCCGTATGCAGTACCGATGCTTCGCAGCAGCGCAAGCGCCAACAATCGCGCGGGGCTACGGATACTGTGAGGGTCGCCCGGTCCCCTACGCAGGCTCGAACCCGCATCCTCGGATTACAAGGCAGGCTTGTGGTCTTTAGGCCGCAGGTCGGAAACAGCGTGATTATGTATAATGCAGCAACAAACCAAACAATAACATTATACACGGATTAAAGTCCGGAAACGAAGGAATAGCTGTCCAATGCTTGTTCAGAGTATGCTGACAGATGGAATGAGTCCGTCTGTTATGGATACACGAGGTACATTCAGCTGTCCTGAGAACATAAACAGGCTTCTCGTTCGTAATGCAAATTCGAACGGCAGATAACAAGGAGCCAAGAACCCGTAGGCATACAAATGATGAATCGTCAAAAAGGGCGGCCACATACCTGAACGTCCGACTTCATGCGAATCAACCGGTTACGTTCCTTCAGTTGTCGAGCATGCTCCGTCTTAGCATGCTCCTCCAGTTCTGCAACGCTACGCTCGTACATCTCACGAGCTTTTTGTGCCTCAGGCTCAATCGCAGCTCTTAGCAGAGGAATTTCTTCCAGTCGGATGGCGCGAGTGTAGTAATCCAGCTTCTTTGCCACGGCCTTGGCCTTCTCTGCGACTTCCTTTCGTTTCTTTATAACCTCCATTGTCTAGAAGAGGGGAAAAGATGAGTGCAAAGGTATGAGGAAACGCTGAAAAACCAATATACAGAACCCTGGGCTAGCGAATCCGACAGATATGACCCGTAAAAACACAGCTCCGAGTAACGGTAAAGCCGTGATGTAACGCAATCTACGAGAAATCGTGGTACGATAACTTTGAACCAAACTAGCCAGTATTAAGTGGGTAGAAAAATATTGACGTCTGCATGGTGTAGGCTTAGGAAGGAAAAGCGGGAGTAGCGGCAAGAACATAGCGTGGATTGTGTCCAGTGTAAACCAGAATTGAATTGAGTCGTTGTCGCTGAAAATCACAATCGTTTTGACGTGAAAAAATACCCATAGGTGTTGATTAATTAGTAGAAAAAGTATGGGAGTAAATATATGCAGAACTGAAGCACAATGTACTAAGTGAGTGAAAATGGCACATCCTCAGACAGTTAAGCAGAAATAGTGCTATGGTGCAGTGTGGCCAGAACAAAGTAACCAGTAAAAAATGAGAAACTGATAACCAGATCAGTCTGCGATATACTGTGAGCTATGCTGGATAGTGCCATCAGGTGCAACACGATGATCATATACCACACAGTCCGGTCTTCTGTTGTCACGGGTCTGGGATTGATAAAATTGGGTGAGACCCATTTCTGTGGACTGGTTTTAGAGATAAAAGCTTGAGAGAACAGAGCTGAACGTTTGCCTGCCAGGGTTTGAGCACTCTAGCAGTTACCCAGCATGCATAGAATCGTGACTTCCCCTACAGTCTCCAGACCGGTTCTGCACCGGCCAGTAGAGGATTTAAGCGATTGTACGTCTACCGCTGGCGCGTGCATTCTCCTACACCTGTTTATCCAACATCCCTTTCCAGCCCCAATAATAGATTTGATTCTATAGCTTCCAGAATAACTGACAGCAGCCGTGACTTTACTAATGGTTGTCCCTACGGCGCTCAGCTGTATGCTGTCATAAAAAACCCTTCATGAAACAACGCTGTTTCTCAGGTCACGTTCAATGTACGTACTTGGGACAGAGATCAACAGGCTACATTTGCACACCCAGTGGGTGTAGCGGTACTAACGTTGGTAAAACTAGAGAGGAGGACTCACACACAATTGTAGAATCACCTCAGCTACTGTGCCGCAATACATAAAGGAAAAGGAACATAAATACAACAGTTGCATGCCAGCTGAGCTACCAGCAACGGATGGGCATCGTTCCGGTAAGCTACCAGCCGGCTACTAGGCAAAAAGAAACGTTATTATGTTTTACGCTACGAAATGAGATCGTGGTTGGAGGAGGAGGCTAAAAGAGATGGGGAGGAACACAGAAACTCACAACACCAACGCCACTGAGGTCGCCTCCTTGCCATGTCAGCAAGTGTATCCAGCCAAACGTGTTCACCGTCTTTTGGACCCCGACCAGGGAGCCGTGACGCTCCAACCGAGACCAGCGCCGAAGTGAGGGCCTTCATTCCTCATCTTTATCACTTGGCCACCCCACCTCTTCTTACATCCACACTCCCGGTGAGCAAACAACGCACATCGTGGAAGTCTGTAGGCTGGCATGTGCAACACATGGCCGAGCCATCGGAGCCTCGTGCGGGAAATAACGGTGCTGAGCGGTTCAGATCCATTTCCTGTGCCGTAAACAATGCGTCGAACACGCTCGCTATGCACACGGTGTTCCCACCAGATGTGAGCCAAACTGCGAAGGCACCGATGGTCAAACGTAACTAGCCTCTTCATGTCCGTCGATCTTAGGGATCAGGTTTCGCAACCGTACAGTAAGGTCGAACGTACCGCTGCATTGTATATTCTACCCTTCAGGGCGAGAGTAATGTCGCGCCGCCGCTATAGGTGGCGAAGGTTAGCAAAAGCACTTCGAGCTTTCGCTATACGGTTTGTGATCTCGTCTTCGATCCCAAGGGCGCTGATACAACTTCCCACGTAGTTGAATTTCTGAACGACTTCTAGCAGATCCCCACCAAGGGTCAGCACAGGAGGCGATCCCTGCCAATCTTGGAGAAACGCTTGGCACTCCGAGGGTGCAAAGCAAAGCCCGAAGCGGCTGACAGCCAGTGCTAATCTGTCCAGCGCGGCTTGGCACATCTGGGAGCTGTCACAGATGAGGGCAATGTTGTCAGCATACTCCAAGTCAGGAAGCCGTTCTCCTGGGAGTAGCTACACACCTTCTAAGTCGTGTCCTGTAAATGCAATCTCCATGACTTCGTCAATATCGAAGTTGAAGAGGAAAGGTGACAACGAGCATTCTTTTCTCACACCGTTGGAGATATTGAAGGGTGGCGACTGTTTGCCGTAAGCCCTCACTCTGCCTGTGCTATGTGCGTATAATGTTTGGATAATATTTACATATTTCTCGGGCACACCTTTCCTGAGTAGACAATTCCAAAGGGCACATCGATCAACCGAATCGAAGGCACTTTTGATGTCGAGGAACACGACTACGGTGGGCCGCCAAGATGTGTGACGGCGCTCCAACAACTGACGCAGGGTGAAGGTGTGGTCGATGCAGCCACGACCACTGTTTCATTTAACTGTATAGGAACACTGCACGAGAGACGTCACACATCAATAGGCAAGATGCAAGTCCCGTATTAAGAATAAGTAATCTAAGATTTCGAGATTTACGGGAAGAAATATGCCAAGAAACCACTTCATCTTCGACGTTGAAGGTTTCCATTTGCCACAGAACACAACCACGTACTGGATTGTATTTTAGCATCCTTGATTCACACCGTGACCGATTTCTTTCATTTTCCAGAGTCTGTTTTCATGCAAAGTACTGCACTTCTGGATGCGAGTCGCGTGAATGGAGGAGGGATAAGTTCGAATGCTCAAAACGAGTCGGATGCACGCTTAATTGTTTGGGGAGGAGAGGCTAACAGATAGTCACGGGTTTCGAATCCAGACAGCAGAACGACTAGAGTCCAAATAAGAGGTCTGATCGAAACATAGAGAGAAAGTGTTAGCGGTTCACAGGACGTATCGTAGCCATATAAATGAATGCTACCCCCGGTTTAACTAGAAACACGGGGGACTAGGAGAAAATTTAGTTACCAAAGCGAGCAGCACTAACACTAAATTTTTATTCAACAAAGTCCTGGAGACCGAAGTGGTACTATCTAGTAGGGTATGGAAAGACATACGAATTGGATTGCACATATGAATGGAAAACGAGCGTGACGAAAAAGCATGCAAATATGGGTGAATTAAGTGGGTGAGGTGAAGTGACCTTTTTCTCTAAAATTTTGTCCGCATCGAACTGATCAAGTTGCTCTTCTGTAAGCTCAATCTTGGTGCCTAATTTGTGCTCCATTAACAAATTATAATTCCCCTGAGCAATGCGACGCTTCAGCCGGGCTTGTTCCTCTTCCGTCTTACGGCGTTCCCGTTCTTCTGCCTCCTTCAGAAGATTAAGTTCCTCGTGCTGTAACTGCTGTTCCTGCTCCAGCTGCCGCCGTGCCTCCTCTTCCATGAAAAACTGTGGCAGAGAAGGGAGAACAGAGAGTCAGCGGAGTGACGATGCGGAGTTACTCAAACAAAAAGATAAGCAGGCGTGAATTGGGCGGGCAAGACAAATCGAAAATGACATGTTAATAATGAGAGGTTCACGAGAGGCAGGTGAGGACATCAGATGACCTAAGAAGATGCATGTGGGCAGCATTGGACAGAGGGGTCCGGATGACGAGGGGTAAGCAACACAGGATCATCTCAGTAACTGTAGCGAGTAATTTCCCATTTGTTTATGTAATGAACCGACAATTATCCACTGGACCATGTCTGTACGTCAAGGTTAATTGCAAATAAGTTCAAAGTGGTAAATGAATCCAACAGATCGAAAAAACCTACCGAAAAAACAACGTTTGGAAAAATAGACTCACTTGGTCGCGCTCCCTGTGCAGTATTTCTACTGTTTCTTTGCGAACCTCAATATAATTACGGCGGTTGAGGAGCTCTATGTGCATATGATGTTTGTGTTCACGATATTCTTTGACCAGAGCGCGTCGATAAGCAGGCATGGATTGGTTCTCATCCAGCATCCCCGTGATCTGCTGCATCACCTGAGCAAATATAGTCAGTTGTCTCGACAATTTATCCGGTGCATTGACATGAGTGGCCTGTAGACAAAGAATACGAAAGAAAAAGTGACTGAGAAGATCAGAACGTCGACGCAACGAAAGGTGTGCACAACCGCTGATGCTAGATAGCAGGCAGCTTGTCTCAGATGTTCACCCAAAAAGGATCACATGCGTCCGAGCTGTAGTGTACCTAGTGACATAGAATTGGCAGTAGCGCTAATGTCCCAAAACCTAAATATATCCTACAGCATTAAAGCTAGTGAGTGTATAGAGGAAAACAGTCAAAACATAAACAATGACCAAAAATCAGAAGTCTGTGTAAGCGAACATATGTTTTCGGCAATTCTTCATCAGGCTTGTACAATTACATGAAATGCAAACATTTTTTATACAGACCCAAAGGGTCGTCAGTTAACCAAATTGATCTTAGTGCGCTGTGACACACCTTCGGTTACGTTACAGTTGTAGTCGTACGTGCGTACAGGTCAACTGCAGTCCGTCCTGGCCAAGGAAGGCTCAACGCGTGACTGAACCGTTTCTGTGTACACAGTGCTGGTTCGTACAACCGAATGGCAATGGCTTCTGCGGCGTCTAATATCCGCTTACGGAAATACCTTGATCGATTTTCTGGGGCCTGATAGATTACTTTGACCGAGTCAGCCGACTTGGTGGCGTGACCCGTATCCGCAAGATTCGTGGCGATGGCAGAGTTGGTGACCTTTCGGCCTCTATTTCCGAGCCAGGCCGGGTGGTGTTCCTTCACCCTTTCGGATAAGCGTCTTGTCGTACGACCAACGTATCCTGTCCCACAGGAACAGGTAAATGAGTATACACACATTGATTTGGTGTGGACAGGCAGCTTATCCTTGAGGTTTAGTCTCACCATTGGACTGCTGGTAAATCGGATTTGCAACCTCGCCGCTGGGAAGGTATTCGTTAGTGTGGACGTGAGACGGCGGGATAGATTCTCGGATACTATTTCCCCTTTGTAAGGCAGTTGTAGGAAAATAGGTTTCCGTTCCGCCGTCAGGACCAAAGGTGCTTCCCTGTTTCGCCCCATATTCGCATTAATAAATTTCTCTGGGTAGCCATTCTCTTTTAGTGTCGCTCGTATTAGTTGCAACTCTTCCAAAAGAGTATCCTTCGAGCAGATTCTTTCGGCCCGGTTCATTTCATGTAATTGTACAAGCCTGATGAAGAATTGCCGAAAACATATGTTCGCTTACACAGACTTCTGATCGATCAATGGGTTTTTTCCATTCAATGACCAAAAATGTCTCGGGACATATTCGTTATTGGCCACCCGTCTAGCCCAAGTCTGATAGAGCATTCGATTGAGAGATGCGCGTGTTCTACGACTCTGCAAAGTAATTCGGGAGCGTCTTACCACAGCGAGTTTTGAAGAAGACGCTTTGACACTACAAGCCCAAGTCGTGAGTTTGCAGCCTTGCTGTTTCCAGTCAATATCGGTGCGCACAAACAGAGCAACACCAGTGCGCAGTTACACCATGCGACCAACAAAATCGTATAGATACCGAGTAAGATGCCACCATGAAACCATGTCTCGAGTATCACATACACGTCTACACGATAGCTGGTGAGAAGTGTCTCAGCTACTGTGCCGTGATACCACATAATAAAATATTAGAAAATACAATCAAACCTGTCTAAGGCGACCAATCAAGGGACCGACAAAAAGTGGTCGTCATGGACAGATTCATGCACAGGGACATTACTCATAGGAGAAAATGTTGGGGATATTTTTGGCTGGTCGCCATAGCAGATTGGACTGTACAAGAAAATATAAATAGTAACAAGTAGTAGATGAAAACAAGTAATATTACGAATCAGATGAACATTGGTACTGCCCGCCCGAAAACACTGCACCGCACGACCGGTTTCCAACTTAATCGATCTCATCCGGTAAAGAGATGACAGGCACTCGAACCAGAGAAGGTAGTTGGGACCTCTACCCATTTAGCAACGGAGTCATGACGGCCAATGCTTGGTAGGAGTCCTCTGGAAGCACTCGCTATGCGAATGCATTGCAATTCATTCACGTGAGTGATTCAAAATGACTAGACAATAAGTAATATTCTGCTTTTGTACTACTACGCATCGACACTGAGACCATGGTTGTAACGGTAGCCCAAGAGGGATGGGGGGAACAAAGGAATTCACAACACAAACGCCACGGAGGCAAAATGTGAAGGCACCAGTGGTCGAGCGCAACTAGCCTATTGTGGTTTACCGATCTAATGAGCCAGGTACCATAACCGAACAGTAGGGTCGAACGTAAGGTTGCACTGTACGCTGCCGTTCAAAACGAGAGTGGTGACGCACCGGCGCCATAGGTGGCGAACGTCAGCAAAAGCGCCTCGAGCTTTTGCCATACGGTTCGTGAGTTTGTTTTCGATTCCACAGGAGCTGTTATCACTGTCTAGACAGTTAAATTTTGGACGACTTCCAGCTGATCCCCACAAAAGGGTCAGCGTAGGAAGCAGTCCTTACTAATCCTGGAGGAAAGTTTGCACTTCGAAAGTGCAGAGAATAGTCAGAAATGTCTGACAGCTAGTGCTGCTTAGCCAGTTTGTGAGCCCTCCCAGATAAGATCAATGTGGTCAGCATACGCCGAGTCAAAGTATGGCACGCACACAGGAGCAGCTCCACACCTTATTGGTCGTGTCCAGTGAATGCGATTCTCATAGCGACGCTGAAGAGGAAAGGTGACAGGGGGCATCCGTATGTTACACCGCTTGGGATAGTGAAGGATGGTGACAGCTTGTCATAAGCCCTCAATCCGCCTGAGCTACGCGCATAAGGCGCTCGGATAATGTGTACACACTTCTCGGACACAGTTTCCTTAGCAGACAGTCCTAAAGACCATCCCGATTAACCAAATCGAAAGCATCTTTGATGTCAAGGAACAGGACTACGATGGGCCGTCAATATATGTAACAATGCGCCAACAATTGATGTAAGGTGAAGATGAGATGGATGCAGTCCCAAGTTCGACGAAACCCGGCGTGTTCCTCACGAATCTGGCTTTCAATGGTGCCAGTCAATTTGCGGAAAATGACAGGGGCAAGTGACTTGAAGGCGATGGAGATCAAACTCCTAAATGGCCACCGCATTCCGAACGTGAGCCCCCTTTAAAATCGAGATAATAACGGAGCAGCTCCAGTCGGTTGAGACAGCTTCCTGCTCTCATAGTTGCACTAATAACTCGTATAAAAGATCCAAAAGATGAGGTTCTCCGAATTTGGAGAGGGCTAGAGGAAGAGCATCTGGTCCCGCGGCAGTATTCAGCCTCAGCAGTCCGATCGCATGTTCGATTTATGAGCGAGAGGGCGGGTCCCAAGGGACAGTCCAGGGACCAGGGCGATCACTAGCGGGCGAGAAATCTGACAATTCCGTCCGAATAAAGGACCAAGCAAGTGAGTTAGTTTGGTCTCTAACCATTGACCAATCTAATATGAATGGCTCCGGTGCAAAAAAACACCATCGAGCATAGATCGATGGATCGCTGAGATACACAAGTCATAGAACTATCTTGAAATCAAAGAAAAGAACGAAGTATGCAAAGAATCGGAAGCAGACATCAACGCAGGTGCACGCATGGACCAAGATCTATGATGAAAAGCTAGTTGTGCAATCGTTCCACACACGTCGGTCAAATGGTTGATGGCGTTGGCCATGGCGTCACATTGAAACCGAAGAAAAGATCATAATAAGGACTCGAATAATGATAAGTGAAACACAGTAGTGCACAACGTACAAGATCAACGCAAAATGGGAAACGAAGCGGTCGCGAAGCGGAAAGTCAGATGTAGGCAAAGGTTGTTAAAGTAGGCTGAGTCACGTTAGAGTAACTCCGAGGAGAAGGGCACAAGACCAGGCGCGGCTGCAAGACAACTTTGAAAAAATAAATGTTCAGTCAATTCAAAAGAATAGGCGGAACTCCAGCTACGTTTACAAAAATAGCAAGCGGGCGTCCAATCGCACACCAAATATGTCTAGGAGTAAAATTCCACCAACACAGAAGGTACCCTTGTCAACCGCATTCAGCAGAACGCGTGTAAAAGGGATCAGCAGTACGCTGGCACACTGCACCGGCGCTTCGTTGCTACGCAACCACCACCAGTTGGGCGAGGGTCGCCTGGTCCCCTACGTAGACCCGAACCCACGACCTCCATGTTGTAAGGCAGACGCATTGTTCTTTCGGCTACGGGTCAGCACAGTGATAAAGTGAAGTGAGATCCATTTCAAAGGATGTCGAGCGTTTACTCTCTTTACAAATGTGGCATCAATGTTAGTATGTCCCGTCATTAGTGCGTAAATACAAGAGGAACAGATGACTCAGTGGAACCATAGAAAAAACTAGAGGCTTAATGGAGAAAAAAACTACCAAAGAAATGGTCAAGGTTAATTTTCATGTCGAGGTAGGGGATAAATCAACGTCCCACAAGTCCGATTGATTGATTTATTAGACAATGGAAAATGGACAAGGAAGGATTCGTATGAGTGTAAAGCAAAGAAACACGAAAACATCAAATCACTTGAATGGACCGTACCTGAGACACCAACTGTCCTCCATATTCGCACTGGCTAATGCCCAAATCGGTGAATTCATCGAAAAGAATGGCTTGTAGTCGATGATTCACTCGGATGGGGAGTTCAAGGTTGTGAATCAGTTCAATTACATATCGCTCCAAGCTGATTGAATCCATGAAAGGACATAGTTTCATAAATTCATCGAGCTTGATGCTCCGAAACACTTGGGACAACTGAAGCAAAGTTTTGGACACAATCACTTCATGCAACAGATTGATGTAGGGGCTCAACTCAGGGGAATTGCGGACTACGCCAAGGGCGGACTGACATCGCTCCCAAAGTGTCAGCGGTTGGAAGTCAGCTTCCAAAACGTGGTATAAGTCGGCTAGGTCGCTTGGGACCATCGCAGTCACTTTGTGTCGGACCATATCATGAATTAGACTCTGACGAGTAGGAACTTGCATAAGACCTAAAATTGCACACAGATCATACACAAGGACAGAGACTCACGTAGAAGCCCAGCAAGCGTTTTCTGTTTCATCATGGTATATTCACCGGAAAGAAGAAATTTGTCGGAATTTACTTTCGCGTTGGGAAGGGGCACGGCTAGAGTGGCGCATAATACGCGTGAACCTAAGGCAGATAGCTCCTCACGCGTCACTGTCTTTTTGTATTCCCGGTAGAGAAAGAGAAGTTTGTGTAGAGCAGCCGCGTGGTACAGATAACAGCCACATCGTAAAAATAATTCCGCTGATTTCGAATAATAATTGGTCAATAGCACTGGACTGGTTATCTTTTTGGACATGGCCATGAAACCCCAGATATCCTCCACGGTTTTAAAGGCTTCCTGAAAAGTAGGTCATAAATTCCAACAGGCAAGTAGAACGTACGTTATACATCTCCAGCTCCATAGCACAATCGAGCTGACGTAAACGAGTTTCGAAATGGAGCACTTGGGTTTCCGGATTTTTCAAACTAACCAAATTGGGCGCACTTGGTTGAATTTGGTTCTGCATTTTTTGAGTGTGCAAACGCAACTACAAGTGCGGGCTTGATCACAAGTGCATATTAACTTACCAGTTCGCTAAGCTTTCGAAATTCAGCTTTCCGTCCATATTTGATGCAAAAATCATAGGCTAACAAAGGGTAAATGGCGGATAAACGGAATGCTAACCATCATTGGCAACAGAATGATAAAGGCTTTCTAATTTGACGTTTGTGCGAAGCAAGTCGAGCACTAGGCGATAGGAATCCCAGAGAAATTTTAGCCACGGCATTAAGATAGTCCGTGTGGATCTGTCCTGAGTGCCTTCCAAGCTGACCGCATTCAACATAAGACTAGACAGTTACTAATGCCACATGTTTGTTACCTTTCTGGAGTTTCCAGGACGTCCAGATCTTCAACGTCCATTAGGATGGTTTTTGATTCTTGCTGCGCTTCTTCGGTTTTCTTTTTTATCAGTTCCAAGTAATATCGAACAACTTGAATCAAGGAGGAGGTATACTCCATCACGCTGATATTCTTGTATTGATAGATGACTTTGCGGAAGTGCAGATTCTTTCGCAATTCTACACACAATTCCACAAAAAGCATCATGAGATCCTCCAGCACTTTCTGCCATTGCTTGTTGCGTCTCAGTTTCATGACATCGTAGAGAATTTCCAGAGCGATTGATTTTTTGTCGCATCTCATAAGCTCTTTAAAATGCAGAGAAAAAAGGGAGACAAATAGAAAACAGATTCAACATTGGACAAAGAAGCAGAGTACGTTGGTCCTTTGAAACCAATCCGCTAGATACCAAAATCCAAGTGACATGAATACACGGGTTGGCGTACTATTGCAGGTTGGATTAAAAAGCAAATGTCACGTAAAAATGCCTAGTAAAAAAGCAGCCGCAAATCTCTGTTGAAGCTCCTGGAGCTGCAACGAACTACCACAAGGAAATTAAGGTCACTGGGACTGAATCCAATGAATAGCTACGGCCAAATGGAAAAGATAACCCATAACCAACTTATACAGAGGAATGAGAGTGTACAAAGGCGTAACAATTCAATTGATTGTTCGCTTAGGAGCCATAGTGGAAACAGTTGATAGGTGAATAAACATGGCTGCACGAGCTAAGGAAAAAATATGATTGGCGATAGACAGAGTAATAACAGCCACGTTACCATTAAAAAAATGACGCGGGTCGCACAGTTCGAGTCGCCCCTGTATCAGATTTCTTGCATCCAGACGTTAACACTAATTACATCCCGCTTAGTATTAAGCACTACTTTTCTAATTTCATTTCCTTTGTATTCCGTTTGCGATCAGCCACGTTTCTTACTATAATTACTTATTGTTATCTCGACGACGCAAGTAGTGACAAGCGGAACCGCCGCACTTCAGTGCCCAAAGCATAGTAGTTCAACAGAACTGAAGTGACGGTGGAACAAACAGCCCGTTGGTAATATCCTACACTAGAAAGCCACGAAGTGCATGCCGAAACATGCAGCAGCAACGCAAGTGGCTCAGCACCACAGGTGAGTTGCATCGTCTGCAATCTCTAACATTTGTCAGCCGAATACCGTAAGCTAAGGGATAAGAGAGGCGACCGGAGCGGGTGCATGTAGATGTTCAGATCTAGCACCAGCGAGGAAACCTGAACTGAACTGCTGCCAGTAATTCAGTCACGTCATCATTATGCTTCCGTTTTAAATGACGATGCAAAGGCGCTAATTCGCGTCTATAACTAACAGGAGACGTCCGATACTGATGGCTGTTCGTCAATGGTGCCGAAAAACTAGGGCGATTGGCTGGCATTCTGTTTATGTGACCAAGTTAAAATAAGGTGCGAAAGGAGATGCGTTCAAAACATCAGTTACCACCGTTTTAATGTGTAGAAAGCTAAACAAAATCAGGCAGTCATTGAGGTATGGATATTAACACATCAAGTAAAAGGGCTCACCAATCCTAGGTATCAGATTATTGAAAGCAGAGTGTGGGCCCCTTCTGTTCATGTCCTATTTTAAAGGTTGGGACAGTATTACACAAGTAAAGACGAATTAATGTCATCGTTCAAGGCACATAGATCGCCTCTGACTCAGTTAATAATGATGCTAAAGAGTGGAGAGCGCAAAACAGCAAAACAGCAGTACATCAACCAGTTAAATTGCCACTTCGCTGCCATACAACCATAACGACCTACGGAACGAGGAATAATAAGAGGGAGAGAAGGGGGACTTACCAGAAAACCTTATTGCTATAAATAAACATTCAGAGTCAAGGCGCCTAAACCTTGTCAACAATATGCCATCACAAACAACTGGCTATCGTGCAGACATAAGGCGGCATCGGCGAGACAGCTTCATTGTGGCTTTTACTGTCCCGCGTCATAATCAGCCATTACTTCGGAGACAACTCAGCACACACACTTTAAACAGGCCGTCCTACTGGGAGGCGACAGTAGACACGCCCCTGGTGTCGACTGCGAACCATGTCCTCTAAAGTCTTGAGCCAAGCACAAGGCGGATCAAGTGGACTTCAGACCGGAAGGTGAGACGGACTGACAGCACTCAGTTTGACCGTCAGTGACTTCATTTCCCGCTGCCAATTAATTGTGTCCTAATTTTTATAAAGCGACAAGTCAGCTGCGCCGAAGATCCTCGGATCTAAGGAATCAAGCCTTGTTCCCACAGAGCAGGACGGCCCTCACTGTATTAGTGATATTATTCAACACCTGATCAATATACAAATGGTAGTGCCACCACCATTGAATAGTGCGAGTGTGAGGGAATCCAGGACAGCAGCACGAAGACGATTAAGAGCTATGATCGCGTTTCGGACCTTTGACGAACGCTTTAAACTCATCGTACATGGCTTGTTCTGCATCATCTGGGTGGGAAGAGGTCAGGGAGCAGGGGGTCAATTGGACTGAACTGCTAAGTGTTCCGCCCAACGAGCCATACGGCGCTCTTTATTGTGTATCGGTGTACCCGCGCTGTCTCTGGTTGTCTCACTAATGCCTGTTTTCCTGGGACCAGTGGTGCAGGTCAGATGGAAGAGTCTGCGATAATTGCCTAATGCTCCCCCATTACTTGCGTCTGACTGTTCCACCAGACTTCCTTGTCAGCACGTAGGCTCCAGTTTAGTTCGCGCCTAATATTCCGTCCAGTTACTTTGTACTTAGAGCCAGCCGGGAAGTTTCTCCTAGATTCTAACAGGTCCACCTACCTCTCGGATATCCAGTGACTGTGCGGTGGCGATTGAGCACCAAAAGCAGATGCTCCTGTTTCGTGCATGGCGGTCGAGATCCTATTCCACTGAAGCTCTGTGACATTAGGAAAAGAAAGCGAAATTTCGGTACGCCGCGCGTCTTGGTAGGCTTGCCTGACCGAGGGCTGAGACAATTTCTCAGTTGCCAATCAGAGAAACGCTTGGTGCGCCTCCCAGTAAAGTTCGTGAGGAAACGACAGTATATCAAAGCATGATCAGAATCGACGTAGGTATTCCAGTACGAACGGAAGTCAAGGATGGAACGATGCCACTTGTAAGTTATGGCTAAGTGATCAATTTGGGTATATCGCTGGCCAACTGCAGGAAGACGCCAAGTGGCCCTTCGGCGCCAACTGTGTCTAAAAGCGGTGCTACAAAGTTGCCACAGACATTCGCCGCTGTCAGTCCGTTCGGAGTTAAGCCTATAATTACCACCCAGCCGAGTTCATGTGGTAAGTCTAATAGTCAACATGGACATTGGGTCTCTTCGCGGTCTCTGGAATTTATCGATGCTCGCCGGCATATCCGGCTGGAAGCGAACACAATGAAACTCGCAAAGAGCTCCGGGCAAAACTCCGTGCTAGCATGAAGAGAGACCGCGAATCTTGGCGGTTTCTTCGTGCGTCAGAGATGGAAGTGGCTGCTGCCCTCGGTTATTCCGTCTGATACGGGAAACGGGCAGCAGGAGACCTGGTGTTAGTGAAGCTATACGTCACGAGTGGACAGCCTATCCACAATTTGTCAAAGCGTTTGGAGCGTTGGACTAAGCATTTCGAAAAGCAATTCAATCGGCCAGAATTGTTCGGTTCTGCATCGGCCAGTGATCGCCCTGCTCCTTGGGCTGCCCCTTTGGATCCAACCTCCCGCTCAGAATTCAAACGTGAGATCGGACTGTTGAAGTTGAACAAAGCCGCGGGACCAAATGATCCTCATCCAGCCCTCTTCGAATTTCGGGGCTTTGCTCTTGTTGATTGTTTACATGAAATACTAGTGAAACTGTGGGAGCAGGAGAGAGTGCTAACTGACTGGAGCCGCTCCGTTATTGTTCCCATCTTCAAATTCGGCTCGCGTTCGGAATGAGACAACCATAGAGGAATCAGTCCCATCTCCATTGCCTCCATAATTCTTCACAGACTGACTGGCGCTAGTGAAAGCCAGATTCGTGAGGAACAAGCCGGGTTTCGTCGAGGTCGTGGCTGCATCGACCACATCTTCACCCTGCATCAGTTGTCGGAGCACCGTTACACATATTGGCGGCCAACCGTAGTCGTGTTCCTCGACACCAAAGGTGCCTTCAATTCGGTTGATCGATGTGCCCTTTGGAATTGTCTACTCAGGAAAGGTGTGCCCGAGAAATATGTAAATATTATCCAAGCATTATACGCGCGTAGCACGGGCAGAGTGAGGGCTTACGGCAAGCTGTCGCCACCCTTCAATATCTCCAGCGGTGTGAGACAAGGATGCCCGCTGTCACCTTTCCCCTTCATCTTCGATATTGACGAAGTCATGGAGATTGCACTTACAGGACGTGACTTGGAAGGTGTGGAGCTACTCCCAGGAGAACGGCTTCCTGACTTGGAGTATGCAGACGACATTGTCCTCAACTGTGACAGCTCCTAGATGTGCCAAGTCGCGCTGGACAGATTAGCACTGGCTGTCAGCCGCTTCGGGTTTTGCTTCGCACCCTCGGAGAGCAAAGCGTTTCTCCAAGATTGGCAGGGATCGCCTCCTGCGCCGACCTTTGGTGGGGATCAGCGAAAACTCGTTCAAAAATTCGACAGCCTGGGAAACTGCATCAGCGCCCATGAGATTGAGGACGAGATCACGAACCGTACAGCAAAAGCTCGAAGTGCTTTTGCTAATCTTCGCCATCTATGGCGGCGGCGCAACATCACTCTCGCCCTGAAGGGTAGAATATACAATGCAGCGGTACGTTCGACCTTACTATAAGGTTGCGAAACCTGGCCCCTAAGATCGGCGGACATAAACAGGCTAGTTAGGTTCGGATATCGATGCCTTCGCAGTTTGGCTCACATCTGGTGGGAACACCGTGTGCGTAACGAGCCTGTTCGACGCCTTGTTTAAGGCACAGGAAAAGGAACTGTACTGCTCAGCACCGTCATTTCACGCACCAGGCTCCGATGGCTGGGCCATGTGTTGCGCATGCCAACTCACCGACTTCCGCGACGTGTGTTGTTTGCTCACCGGGGGCGTGGATGGAAGAAGAGGAGGGGTGGCCAAGCGATGACTTGGTGCAGAGGAATGAAGGCCCTCACTTCGGAGCTGGTCTCGGTTGGAGCGTCACGGCTCCCTGGTTGGGGTCCAAAATACGATGAACACCTGTAGACATGGCAAAGAGCCGACCTCAGTGGCGTTCCTGCTGCCAACTTTTGCCAATTTCGAAGTGAGGGTTTTCGTTTCTCCCGACCAAGTCATCACTTGGCC